CCTGCGCCAGATGTTGAGAAATAGTGGGAGTTCGTCCATCCGATGTACATGCGCTTTGTCGACCGAAAGAAAGTCTATGACCGGATGCGCACAACAATCTACTGCCTCTCTGGCAACACGTGGGATGGATGGCCAGTTGTTACGAGCTAAATGAAATGGTTCGTGGAGATTACCGTCGTCCAATGTTCCAGATTTAAAGCGGTGACCGAGCATTAAATTCACTCAGCGGTCTGCGCCCAAACAGCGTGCTTTGAAACGCTTGATTCCGCCTGGGGCATAGCTGCAACGAGCATGGCATTATGTTCGTCATCAGAATAATCTGAGATGCGTACATCTGTACGCTATGATTGTTAAAATTTTAAATAGGTCCTGATCGACTTATAGCCTCAGGTATCTATGAACAAGAAGACCATACCATTAGCACTATGTACTCCAGCTTTAAATCGAACTTAAATCTGCGCGAATTAAAATTGTTAGTGTTTCATCATAGGTTGGGCGCTGCGCCAATCGCTACAGTGCCTACGCTTATCATGCTGCGAACGAAAGGAGGAATAATAGTGTTTTAGGCTTCTGGCACTGCTTCTAAGCGTCTTCAGGTCAGCCTGAATGATATCTTTCAATGTTCGGTGTTGCCTGCCAGGCCGGAAGCTTTTTTTCCGTAGATTCACATTAGAGAATCTAGTGAGCAGGTGTTGCTTTTTGCTACAGCCTTGTTAAAAGGCATTCACTCAAACCACATTAGCTTTTAATAATGTCGTACAACAGAATTGGCAGGACTGGGGATGAGTAGATCTTGACTTTTGTTCTCAGGCTTATGCTCTGCTGATGCCAAATTTTCGTTAGGCTTCGAAATGCTGCCGCCGTTCGGGCAATCTTCCTGTTCAGCTCAGCATCAGAGTGAATATCTTTGATAACTGTTTAGCCTAAGTATTTGAAGCAATTGTTTTCGGTCAGTCGTTGTCGCTGAGTGCGACATTCGTCACTGTTCCTTCAGCCTTCCTATACATTTTCGTTTAATCACTCGGTTGAGTAAAACCTACTCTTCTGGAATTTTCTAGAGCGAATTCAGTTAACATGCTTAATCCACATCCGGTGTTGCTTAGCAAGATATCACCGACGAAATCGATGTGTAAGGTATGCGGAGGAAAACTTTATGCTGCACCTTCATCTTAGCGTTCCTCCATTTTTTACATGATGGTCAACACTTTGCCTCATTACTCAAACAAGGACTATAAACAACAGCATAGCAGAAGGTGACAACCTTGCCTCACACCGTTTTTCAAACATTTCGAAGTATTTAGGGAGAGTGCTTTTTGCTTTAACGTCGCTAATCGACCGGCTGTGCAGTTGCTGCATGATGTTGATTGTTGTTCAGAATACCTGAGTGTCTCAGGATGTTTCACATGAATTGAAGCCATTGTGGCTTTGAATTGATCAGCCATATGCACGACGGATGTTGGAATTTCTGAGATTGTTACATTATTATGCGAAGTCAGGATCAGACATGGTCGTTCTAAAACATTGCCCTTTCAGAATCCTGCCTGAATGGTCCCAGCAATGATCTTTTTATGTATTTATATTTGTGTAATTACGTAATAATGGCAACATCCGACTGACTTCTTCATTTGAAAATTGGAATTATAGGCCTCCTTCTTCCTGTCGGTCGGTACTCGAGAGGGCGATTAAATTTCGCGCGACTTCCGTCGCTGCTTTGACACCCTTCAGGTACTTTACTTTACGACATAACAGATTTCGGATAAGCAATGAGGCTTTTTATACATATACAGGGATTCTGGAGTTATTTCGTTGACATGCAGGGGTTAAGACCAATCAGCTGCATTCAAAATTGCCTTGAAATGTTCAGTTAAGACTTCTAGCTGTTTTTTATGTTCGGTCAGCAATTGACTGCAAGAACTGCACTTTTTCCGGTCAACAGTCGTAAACATTTGAACACTGATCCAAGATCATCTGGAAATGCCTCCTTTTCGAAATTATTAGCAAAGTCTTCTACCCAGCGGTAACGCGTTTAACGTCATTATGTTAATCGGTGATATTCTGTCTTTGTGTCAACTGTTCGCTGTTGTAAGATTACTCGTTTGGCCTCGCTTATTCTGTGACACAACTGTAAGGTCTCGACCAAATCCCAGTGTTGCTTTGCGTCGGCAGTAAAGTCTTCTTTCCTGCCGTGATCAACTGCTGGCTCAGTTGGTGGTGCTTCGTGTCAGTGCCTGAAACGAGAGCATTAGTTTCGGTGCTTGTTCTGATCAGAACTTCTTCCTCATGCTGATAGGCTGTTTTTATGTCCCACAGTTTCAGCTCGTCTACAGTTATGACAGGTTGAATTGCCTTTTCTATATCGGTCAGCTTAAAACCATGATTCAGCAACGACGAGGTAATGATCCCTGTCAAGACCGGGACTGCGGCGAACTCGAGTATTGCGCCAGCGACGATTGGCCAAGACATGATTGATTTTGCTGTGGACACAGTCACCGGGAGAAATCCGTATAGGCTGGTAAATCTTTCTGTGCTAAACGAGAGTTTCCCCGAAAAGTAGCTCGTGCGATGCCCAAAATCAACGTAAACGCAAACTTCTGTTGTCAACCTCATCAATTTTATAAAATAAGAGTACCTCAGACCAGCGTCAACATAGTCGTTCAGATCACCGGTAACATTTCTCAGATCAAAGAATTGGACTTGACTCATGTCTGAGTCAACCTCGTGGCACAAAACGTCCTTCACTTCGTCACTCGTCACATTCTTCAATGCATAAGCTAGAACCACCGAAAGTTTCGCGTGCCTGGCATTCAAGCGACATGAAATCACGGCAAGAACAATGCTGTATTCCATTACGATGATGCGAGATATATCCGCGCGCTACAGCTTGAGCATTTCGATCAAGCTGGTGGTCATGCTGTAAACATTATTAAAGGGGTTTGTTTATAGAGATCGCAAACGGCACCGAGGTTCCGGTTCCCCCCTCCCCAGACCGTATGTTAGGTAGAGATGCGTTGAGTTGGCTTCGTAAGCCTTTTTGCTCACAGCGGTTCGGACATTTGGAGCCAGAAAGACTGAGCTGCAGCTTATTAAACAAGCAAGAACACATCTTGGACTAACAGTCAGTGCTGTCATAAAGCTATATGACATGGTTTGAAGAGTTATGTGCATTATAAGATTGGTTAATGTAAGAAATAAACATGTAAAACTTACAGAGGGGGAACAAGAAACATGGAGCGGTGGAATTCCATTTTTGAAGCTATAAAATTTGTAATTTGTTTAGTAGATGCATCGTTTAACGTCTGGCATCATGCCAAAAAACATTTTCAAACCAAACTGTTCTGTTGTGACAATTACTCATTTAATAGTTACGAGATAAATATACCTTCCGCGCTCGTCTACGATGTAATTAGACAACCATTTACTGCAATGATTCATCAAAATAATCTTCATCATTCTCAAATATCAGATAACTTGTAGAACCTGTGATGATCTCTTTTCATACATTCAACTTAAATGAGCTACTTTAGGATTTATGGAAGTCGTTAACCTGCATAACAGAGGTCTATTGAACGTGCTGGTGAACGAATGCGCGACGAATGCCTGACAGCCGTAGAGTTATCGTTTACTGTAGATATTTTGTAATACTGTGCATTATTGTAAATTTATAAAAGAAACATAAAAAATGGAATATTAAAAAGCAAGTGAGAAAATGCCGGCAGTTTTTCACAAGTGAAAAACGTAAATTTTTTACGAGATCCAAATATGTTCTATTTCTGAATCAGGGACGCCAATATCGAACACAGCACGGCAGGGGGTAACTAAAAAGTGCGAACGTTAGTAATAGAATTAACTTGTCACATAAACTCTATATAGTGTACTTATTAACTTGTCAGAAAAACAGGGCTAAATCGGTACTATCCCCTACAGAGGTAAGATATTAGAGTAATTGACAAGGCCCTTGAAAAATAGGTAATAAAAGTCTACTGTACGTACCTCACACGGTGAAACGAGTAAAACACAGATGAACATATAGAGAATGTAAAATAAACTCCAAAATGATACAACCTGTGGTAAGGGCATGAAAGAGGATGGCGCGAAAGAACCTATCTGCTGATAAACATATGAAACTGTTTAAACAGGACAACAAATGAAGATATGTCATCAATCTGGAAGAAAACGAGTTGGTGAAGAAGACCCGGACTGAATAACATCTAAATCTTTCAGCTCGAAATAAAGTGTTGTAATTTTGTTTATCGTATTTACATCAACTTATCATCAAGGTACGCAATGACATTGCGGACGCTGTTTTTTCTACTTATTATTACATAATGCTCCATGAAGATAGACCTAGCTTGATCTGAAATGTCACGATTTCATTTAGTAAAATTTATATGCACACAGCAAGCCTTTTAAAGATTGTGGCGATGAAATATCTGGTACCCCGATAAAGAATTCAAGTCATCAATTTATTCAAAACTATTAATTTGTTTTATATTAATTAGATCAGGAGACGTGACGTAACCTTTGGAGAAAATATAATATCATGTATTAATTACATGGATAGCAACGGTGATAACTTTGACACTTCTGCTCAGTTGCAAAATTAAAATCTGTATTCATCTTTCAGAGAAAATCTGGAATTGGATTCACATAAGATCATATATGTATGCCTTTGTTGTCTGTGTTGTTGTACTGTATGGAGGCAGTTATTCTAACGAAACAGAAAGAAGCACTGGCTTCGAAGAACGAGACTTAGGACAGGAATGGCAGGACCACGTAAGCAATAGCTGCATTATCACGTCAACAGGTAAGCCCAGTAGATGTGGAAATTAAGAAAAGGACGTTGTTCCTGCTAGACAGCGTGGTGTGAATTAATCGTGCGAATAAATCGTTTACCTCAGCCCATTACCTTATCGCGTGGGGACCAAAGCCCGACCCGGCAGACGTCGACCAGGAGGCCAGTATACAACATAGAGGAACGACGTGGAGGTAGATCTACTTTCCACGATGCAGTAATTGGTGCCTTATAGCAAAAGTGTTGAAAATTTGCGTATATAGCGGACATGGTAAATTAGAGACATTCTGCTTATGAAAAGGGCTTAAAGCGACGCTCTCAGCAAGCACACAGAGACATGTGCTTTTCGTATTTCATATATTTGATAGACTATTCCGTTCTCTACATATCTTCAGAAGTTTTTCCATCATAGATGCAAATACAAATATAAAATTTGTTGCACGTGTCCAACAGTGACGTTTGTCGGTCGAAATACCGTGGATTAATGTCATGCACAGCATGTCAAGTGTAAATGTGTATAGCGTTTTTAAAAAATTTTGAAGTAACCGGCTTCAATTTTTTTTCTTATGTGACCGTGACGGAATGTAACGTTGAGGACAGCGTCGACAAAGCAATGTTGCCTATCAGAAACAAGAAGCTTGCCCAAGAAAACAGCGGGCCGATCCTTCGGATGTTCATAACCATATTACATATAAGAAACGTACCAGAAAACAGCTGCCTATGATTCCGATGATACCTTCGATGTTGGCAACCCGGAAGATGTGATTTTCAAAATACTGGTAGCAACCCTAGACTATCGGATAAAACAGCGAAAGGTAAGCTACAGAGCTTATAACTGATACATTTGTGTAAATGGCAAGCGGGTTTGGCTTCTTCAGGTCCGGATTTTGACAAGACGCTCGATCGATGTACGTATCGTCACTACGGATACAACATGATAGCGGCACAAGTTTGCTTTCCCCCTGCAGCCGTTGGTCCTTGTGCCACTTGGACGTTCTCCACACGGCAAAATGTTGTCCGTCTTTCCCGTCGATGCCACAGCATTTAAACTACAATAGTTCAGCGACATCGCTACGCGAAAGCGACCGACTTAAAGTATGTGCTGTTTCATTTACATCTTGTTGTATCA